TTCACGTCCAGCCAATGCCTTGATGTGAAGTGAAGTGAAAATGAAAACAAAGTTTAACAAACCGTGGCTAACGAGCTACATTATTAAAACTTGAAAAATGCATAAATTTCCACAGAGACGAAACGCCCGCACCGCCCCGTCGCATATTATAATAGTTCATATAATGCATATATCCTGGCAGCCAGGCAGCCAGGCAATAGCCCAGGCAATAGCCCAGGCAACAGCCCAGGCATTTGAAAGTTATTGACACCTTCTGTTACATGCATATTACTCGCTTCGCTCCTCCTGCTCCTTCTCCTCCATAGATGCTCGTGACGTGATCGTGAGCCCTGCTCAAAAGAGAAACTCCTCCTGCTGCTACAGCTACAGCCACAGCAATCCCCAGCTGCTCCACACATGTACAAGGTGTTGCAATGCCTTCCCATGATGCACGATCTGCACAAAGACAGGGACAGACCTTAGCCAACCCAACAGCAAGCTGGAGCTCTGAATGGAGCGTAATCCGAGTGGAGTTCGAGACTTGCCTGCCAAGTGATTTTGCGCATATTAGTTGCCCATTAGGCGCCCCAGCATTGTCAGCTGTGGTCTGGACTCTCTGCGGACTCTGCGGACTCTGCGGACCCCGGACGGACATTTTGGAATCGCATTAAAATTCAGTTGGTGTTAAATATTACAAGCGCCCCCCAACGCCAAAGGCGGAAAGGTCTCGCGCTGATTTGCTGCTGCCAGTCGAGTCGTCCGTCAGACGCCGCCGTCACTGGCCAGGGGGGGAGGATCGGAGCGGGGAGAGCATCGAGTGTGCAGCTGAGTCGCTTGTGAAATGTTATGGCAACGTGATATGTTAATCATTCAGGCAAAAGTCGTGTCTGCACACATGCATATGTGGCCAGAGAAGAAACACTTGTTGGGTCACCAAGTCCGTGTCCGTGTCCCTCCAAGCAGCAGCAGCAGGAGGAGGACCATTTCGGATCATGGGCTGTGTGACGTCCTCATCATGGGCATTTGATGATTTAAGGCACTCGCTTTGCTTGGGGTTAAATTAGCTGGGAATTATGGGAGACAGTCAGCTCTAAATCTATCGCACTCTAATCGGGTCTTAACTCCCAGGCACTCGACGCGCAGACCGGCCCACATTCGAGGCGCTCTCAGAGCATAAAGTGTAATTATAGCGGTGCACATAGCGAGGGAGAGAGAGATAGAGAGAGACAGAGCGAGGGCCATGAAATACCAACACCCGACAGCTGTAAACAACAATTTGTTGGCCCGACCATAACCGCATCCACATTGGACAGCCGCTTAAAAGTGCTCCAACCCCGGCCAAGGCAGCGCGAGGAAAACGTGCAGCAAACACAACAACAACAAAAACACAAAACACAAAACACAAAACCCAAAATGCCAATAACTTGCCACAGAGATGGCTCTCGATCCCGAGAGCGCTTATAAAAAAGTTATTTAAAACGCCAAACGGAGCCAGGTCCAGGCCAATCCAATCCAACAATGGCAAATGATGATGAGACGTCCAAGTCCGCGTTCGCGTTCGCGTTCGAGTCCGAGTCGTTTCAGGTTAAACGTTAAACGTTAAACGTTTTGGCAGACGCGCAAAAAGTTAGACACAACAAGAGACCTGAAGATGAAAAGTTGAATGAAAATACTGCACCTCCACCTCCGCCGTACACACGGAGACAGATGGAAAGGCAGCGAGTCTGGGCGACAGGGAGACTGCGAGGACAGAGGCCCAGGAAAGTGCAGAAGAACCAAACGTAATGAGCAAATTTATGGTCAATTGATAATTTAGTGGCATTCGGTATCATCAATTATGGTACTGGATGGCTGGCTGGCTGGCTGGCTGGCTGGCAAAGAATAAGTGGCCGAGACCGAGGACCAAATCGATCTGGGGCTCTGCTTGGCTGACTCTCTGCTTCGCTGAAGATGAGGCATTGTTATGGGGACCAATGAGGCACAAATTGTGCTAAATGTTTCGGCATTCCCTACGCAAGTTCGTGAAGGGGACACACACACGCACACACAGTTGAAATATGTTTGTATTGGCATCATTAAGAGGATCCCTGGCCATATTTTATATAATTCCTGCGATTGTCAAAACTGCGAGGAAAGGGCAACCCAACCCGAATTGGGTCAGAGTTTCAGAGTGGAAATCTCTCGCTCTCTCGCTATTCACATACCCATCCATATCCTACAGATAGATAGCCGCATCCATCCTGGCTTTGTTGTCTAGGCCCTTGGAGTCACAATTTAAGTCGCTAATTGAACGCTTGGCCTGACACATGGAATAAATCACACAATTTCCAGCTTGCACCTTGCATACCATACCAGACTCTTTACTTGGACTCTGGCTGCGCACGTCGCCATGTTTATGCCAATAATGTGCCATAAACTATAGGAAGGAGCTGGGGAGCTCGATACCTGCAAGCCGCTTCGATTCGCCGCACAATGGAGCGCACATGGAGTCCAAAAATGGCCAAAGGAGCAGCGTCGCTGCTGGAGCTGCAGGAGCGGCTTCCTCTGATAAACTTTATGACATTGGAGGGAAGTGGAAGTGGAAGTGGAAGTGCAGCCACTTTGTCAGCAGCCATACCATCAGCTCTCTCTCTCTCTTTCTCTCTCTCTCTCTATGTTTGTCTCTCGCTCTCTCTGTCTTTCCCTTCCCTAGCTGGTGTATGGAGTACGGCGCTAAAGTTTAAGCATGGCCCAAACTTTACGCACAACTTGCACACATAATTTACCCCGGCCCTGGCTCCAACCCGCACTCCACTTCACTCCACTGCACTCTTCTCTGCGTAATTATTGGCCAGGAGCTGGTGCTCGGGAGCGGACACGGACACGGACACGGGATGGGTTATATGTGAGTGCATTAGAGGCGACCACAAATTGTTTGGTTTTGGTTTGGTTCGGTTTGGTTTAGCGCAAATTGTAGTCATAACTTCTTCGCGAACTGCGCCAACTGGGAGCTCTTGCCCCCAGCCAATGGACAGCGGAGAGCGTACAGCGGACTCATTGTATGATGCTCAAATGAACATCGTTTCGACGTCTTAAGCATCGGTTTTAAAGTCGGACATTAAGGGGAGAGGTTAACTCGGCTTGAACCCGTCCCCATTATTCGATAGAGTTTCCATCTTGATTATTAAATATTTGCTAAACATTTTCATGGAACCATTTACTTGTTGAGCTCCAATGTCCCATTTAAAGGGAAACAATTGTGCAAGAAACGAGCTGCCCATGAATATTGCATTGTGTTGCAACTGTTAACCCACTTAAAGGCCTACTGTAGGTATGTGCTGTGGCAAGTGCCACAAATCCCACATCAATCAAATCTCTCGCGGGAGGACCCGCGACCCTCCTATGGTGGCCCAATGCACTGAAGCGAAATGGAACCCGGCTCAAATAACCGCTAACCAGAGCGGCATATGCACACAAATACAAATTATAGCGCCCCATTAAACGGCCAAATGTAACAGAGCCGAGCCCGAGCCCGAGCTCCAGCCCTCCCTGGCGCTGACTCGGACTCTGACATTTTGGGTGAAACTTACAGAGGCAGGGGACTGGGGGAAGTTAGTGCAAAATAGCGCTTTAGCATGTGCCTTTAAGGCTGCATTTGCATGCCACATATTATATTATGCCATGCCCAACGCCTACATATGTACATATATATGGGGTGCACCTGAGCGAGTTGCAGCTAAGAAGTTTGACTGGGTGGAGGAGGAGTTTTGCTGGGACAGGGCCAGGATGTGTCCCTTTGCTTTATGCATTGATTTTGTATTTCCAAGGAAGTAGCGCGGAAACTTGTTAGTGCGGCATCCGCCTCAGCTCCTCCCCCTCCATATACATAAATTGCTTTGCATGCCATTTTCCACGAGCCTCACCTGCCCCACCACCACCCCTGCTGACATATAGACAGGAGTCGGAGCTGCTAGGACCACAGCCCTGGGCTGGGTGCCTTGGTGCCTTGGTGCCTGTCCCTGTCCCTGTGCTCTTGCCATTACGCTGGCAAATTGCAATGTAATTAGTTTTACATTTCTATATAGTCGGGAAACGTATAATTGTGGAAAATGGCATTTCTAGTTAATTAATAGCCTTCTCTCTCCCCTGCTGCTGCCACTGCCACCGGCTCTGCCCAACAGTCCACATAGAGCCCCATGGAAGCTCGAGGCCACCCTTTCCAGTACCTCTCTGCACCTTCTGCATTCAACAAAAAACTTCTGTATCGAATCCCCTTAGCCCCACCTTTTGGGAAAGTTTTTCCCGAATTGCTGGCAAATTTAATTAAAACGTTGGCATTTTTGTTCCCATTCACACGAATGCAACACAGTGGGGGAACCGCTCAATGTTTTCCACAATCTGTTGATTCAATTAAAAATATTTGTCATTTAATTTGTACTTGTGAACATCTGCGCCAATCCTCCACGTGTTTTTGTGGCATTGTAATACAGATAATGGAATTATATCTCGTGCACAGAGCACTTAAATTGTCCTATTGAATAATTATTAATTTTTAATTTTGAGTAGAGAAGTTCACATGGAGTACAATCGAAGTGTGCCGTGAAACTCCATATGTTTATAATCGCTTGTTTATTTATATTTAATACATATTTTAATACACATTTCCTACATCCACATAGTTATCCTTACGTATCCATCTGTCTATTTAGTCAAAATCGAAATGTGCGGACCGTCAAGACGTTCCTCCTTGATGGTCGCTGTGCTTGCGATCGTTTGTTCAATGCTTACTGAATTTTTTGGGTATATGCTCATCTGTAACTAGAAATAATCTTTCAAATTGAAATGCATGTTGTAAAGCCTTTTCGTTTGTCTTACCCCATAGCGAGGGATGGTCCAAAGTGGAATGTAATCACCTCAATGGCATCCTGGGGTGTGATTTGTGCCGCCGCCGTAGTTCTATTGCATGGAGCCCATTATGCAAGTACCTAAATATCTGCTTATTTAACTAAAAAATATTAAATTCCAGTCTTATATGTAGAAGAAGCCTTTCATGGTGCTAACATGGCTTATTGTGGCTCCAGTTGTTGGAACAGTTTTGGTCGTTACATCATTCATATCTGCAGAGCAACAGTCGGAGACCAAAGATGCTGTCGAAGGCACTTTGATAGCCATCATTTTAATAGGTAAGTCGTCGGCTGGCAATCTCCTATGAATTTTGATTGAAAAACTTTCTTCTCTTGCAGCCATGTTTGGATTTTTTGTTTATATTCCCCTCAAATATTACCAGACGATGATTTAGTTTGTAATTTTATTCAAATTTATGTGAATGTAATAAATCCTTGTCAGTGTCTGGAATCCCTACTCCGGAATGTGCTTGTCGGTGAGTCGCCAGAGTAAATGCTATGCGATCGCCACATGTGTTTATTTCTATGGACTGCTGGACATTGCGGTGAAGGTCTACTGTCTCGGTATACACAATCAAGTATCATCCAACGCTAAAGCGACAATCCAGTAACACCTTTTTCTGTTTTCTGTCTTGCAGCCTATGATGGATTTAAGCAACGTTTATAATCGTTGGACTCTCGGCCTGGCTGCCGATTCTGCTAGCCGCCACTTTGCTCTTTTCGGGCGCCAGTCAGGCAAGTTCAAGGGACACTCTCAACTCCCCACTAGCTCTCGTTTCTCCATCAGGAGCTGCGTGTACTCATTCTCACCTCGATCGTATTGAATGTACTTGGTGGCTGCCTGTGGATCCTGGCGGAGACTTGGGAAGCAGACTCTCTAATAGAAACAGTGTTGAGAATCATTTCTCTTTTACTTTTCCTAAGTAAGTTAAGTTGAAACACTTTAAGGCTCAACACTTCCAAGCGTTCTCTTTCAGTTCTGATCGGATTGCTCGTTTATTTTCCATGTAGGTTTATGAAAGAATTCCAAAGATAAATGCAACAGAAAACACACACAAAATCTTTAGCGCAATTCAACTGTTTTTTTTTTCTATTTATAATTTGAAATAAGTCACAAAAGCTCGAGTTGGCCAAATGGCAATGGACAAAATTTGCATAAAATAACAATGGACGACAACAAATCAAATGCGAAAATAGACAGACAGAGACACAGCCACACAAGCTTCGGCCTCGCCCTCTGCGGTGGAGCGCCCTCGGTGTTAGGCCAGACAGCAAATAGAAAGTGAAAATCAAATACCAAAATGCTACCGTTTATTTTGTTGTTTTTTTGGCCATTTTCGTATTTTCTTACTGGGTTTATTTGTCGAGTGCCTAATTTAAATAAACATTTATTTGTACAATGGCCTTAATACGTTGGGCAAATGACTTCCTGAATTGAACAGAGCGCGGCGCAAAAGCCGGCCAAATTGCATAATCGGTGGGACAAATGCAGCGGATTATGAAATCCTTCGCTCAAAAGGCTGCCAGGCAGCAGCAGCCACCAGAGACCGAGCCCGAGCACGAGCAGAGTGGAGTCTGGGGCTGGATACCGACCTGGCAACAACCTGTCGCATATTTAAAGCGATTAACGGCACGATTCCAGTCGCTGGTTGCCAGCAGCAGCAGCAGCAGCAGCAGCCACGGCATAGAAATGGAAATTGAAATGCTTGTGGCAGTGCCAACACTCTCCGCATTGCTGCTGTTCCTCTGCCACTAAACTGCATGGCAGGCGAAGAGTTGCACAAACGTGGCCATGTGGGTTGCGGGATGGTATGTGGAAGGTTTCCTTTATGCAAGGACTCACCAAGGACCATCAAGAGCAGGCTGCAGGTGCTAGGAAATCTTCCACTCTAGGTATCTTCCGGTGATATCGATCCCATATTCGATCCCTCTTGGCACATGCAGTGTATACGGTAGTCACTGCACTCTATTCGTGTCTAGTTTTAGTTGATTTTTTTTGTGAATATTCGTGTCTCTGGCGCCGCAACAGAATTGAAAACGTTTGTAAATACTTTCCAAGCATTTGCAGCAATTGAACAAACACAAAACAGCCCGTGCAGCAGCAGGCCCGTTTGCTGGCAGTTGGAAAATTGTGAAAAAAATCAAATAATATATTGTGGCATACTGCGAGCACTCGTACTCGTAAGGCTCACAACTTCCATTGTTGGCTGTGAATTTTGTTGCCCTGACCTATAAATAAAGTTGGCAGCCCAACAACTGTGCCCAGAAATGGCAAACAGTGCGCCAATTGTGCAATAAAATCGTTTAATGTGAACATAACAACCGCGAAGCCCGATTTCCTATTTTGCTTCGAGTATTCTTTTCCCTTTTCACCATTTTCATGCCCTTCCTTTGGGCCAGCTGATTGACTCTTGACCTTACCAGCTTAGCGGCTGGCACCAATTTGGTTATTGGTTTTTGGCCAAGATTTGTTCGTAATTGTGCCAGCCCAGCCTCTATGGGTATGTATTTTCGTTCATTCTTTCATTTTTCAAATATAACATTAAACTTTTCCTCAAGACCAGTCAGCGCCAGAGTCAAATACACCGCGATTGCAAGACATAAATTAATCTCTTCAGAAGATCAATGCACATGTGAGAAGAATCTATTGACAAAGATTCGTCAAATGGAATGGATTCTGGATGGAACCAATCGATTATCCTACACAAATTCTTTTGCAATGGAACTCGCCCGAAGCAGCCAGCTAAAGCGATTCTTAAATGCTCTTAAAAGAAGTCCAGGGAAATGCCAGCCAGACAGGAACGGTTTTGCGGTTGCAAATAAACAATCCAGTAGGAGCCGCAGAATGTTCTGCTCCTTCGAGCTGGATGATACGAGAATGCTGGAAATATTTGCCAGCTTCTGGACATCTCCATCGTTTAAATGACAAAAGCTTTTATGAGGTCCGATTACACAATTTAAAACAGGAAAACTGTCACTTTAAATGCAATAGAAGATGCTTCGGATGGCAGGGCTGAAGCGAATGGATGGACACCTGAGAGCAGCCGGAACCACCAGAATGGCTGCTGTGGTTGCCACACCGCAACATTGTTGCCAAAAGCCAACGTAACCCAAGCCAGGACAAGGCGTTGCAGCACAGCATCCACCCATTCGCCAGCCCATCCACCCTGCCAGCATGGCGACATCTAGCTGCCGCCTCCTGGAAGCGTAAGCTAACTCGACTTAAATAAATTTAATTTAATTACCAGTAAAAACCGCATGAGTAACTTCCGCTAGAGATGAGAGCCACCATGAGCATGAGGCCAGGACAACCTTATCTCTGTCAGTCCGGATTCCACCCAGAAGTGGAACGCCACACAATCTGCCTCTCAGCAGTTACCTGCTGATGGGATGGTGCGGCGCCACAGTCTCCCTACTTATGCATCCCCTTCCACCCCCCCCACCCCCCCTCGCTGTGTGTTTGTTTAGGAAATAACATTTTTGTGGCAACACATTTTTAGATTTTATTACAGCTTTGAGCCCGCTGAGTGCTTTTCGCACTCTCGTACATTCACTCTACGGATGCTGCTGTTGCCGCTGCTGCTGCTCTGTTGAGGTCAACATGCATTTTATCATTTTAAATAGCAGCAACAGCAACTAGGTCTAGGCAGCACTCGACACTCGACGATAAATAACCTTAATGTAGTGCCCGAGCCCAACCCTTTGCTTTGGCTACAGGTTTAATTACGAGCAGGTGCGGATTTCAAAGCATACTTTCAGGCGGCACTGAAAAAAGTGCTCGAGAAAGTGTAGTAGAGAAACGGGCTGCCGCTGCTGTAACCTCTCTGTGTGTGTGTGTGTGCTGCCCGGGCAAGGTCACCCACTCGTGACGACTATAATGCAAATTGGCCTCGCACTTCCCCAGCGTGTGTGTGTGTGTGTGTATGGCAAATACTTGAGCGGCGGCTTAGCGGAGGAGCTTAGGTATCGCCACTCGAGACACATTACCCACTCACCCACACACCATACTCGCGCACAGCTCTCGGGAGACCAAGACAGAGGAATCGTCGTTACAATGCACTGAGAGAAAAACACACAAGTCGAAGCTTAAGTATGTTTATTGAATGGACAGTAAATATTTCCTTTGAAATGTTATTTATGAAAATATTTCCTCTCAGTGCTTGCCGCTCTTTGAACTTAGAAAGTGGAAAGAAGCCTTGGAAGTGCAGCCTGGCCCCAGCGAGTATAAACCCGTTTAATCTCCATTTGAACTGATTTCAATAGCAGAATCCTTTTCACACGCTCGATCCTCTTTAGCGTATGGGATAAATATGCAGCACAGTGCACTGTGTGTGAGAAATGCTTAAGTGCAACTCATTGCACAAACAGCCTTGAATGCGTCCCTTGATCCCTCAACGATTGCGAGAACAGGAGGGGAGTCTCCATATGAATGTCCTGAGCTGTTGCCTGGTAACCTAGTTTAATAAATAAATCGCAATTCTGTTCGTATTTTAGCCGCCTTCTTCTCCCCCCTAGAGGCGTTTCGGGTGTGTCCCTTTGTCTCCGGCAAGTCATTCATGTGTGCAATCTGTGGGTGTGACTAATTCAATTACAACGCCCAATTGTGCATGCCTCGGCGCTCCTGTCTGTGTTGCCGCTGGCCTCATACCTCATACCTCATAGCTCATGCCACTGCCGCATGCTCACTAAGCGAGCATTTTGGACTGTGATTTTTCATTTCATTTTCACGCTTTCACTCTGCATGTGCTGCAGGTACGAGCACGAGGTATGGTATGGGAATTGTTTTCGAGAATTACATTAGGTTTGATTCAGCTTCGTTCACCGCTCACCATTACAGTTCCCCGTTTAACTCTCCCACCTCGCACACAGTCGTCCGTGCAGCGGGTATGTGCCACGTTCCGTGTCACCCTGGGACTTAATTGTTTTTTTTTTTGTCACACGAGTTATCCTTTTTGGGGCGTATCATGTTCAAAATTGAAATTAACTGACAGTTTGCCAACTCACTCCACGAACAAATCGACATGATTTGTGCAGTGCGAAACGATCTGGGGGGGAGGAGCGGCGCAGAGAGTCTGGATTGGAAATCGTGATGGGTTTTGGGTGGGCTAATGTGTGCACAGAGGGGACCTATGGGAACCTAAGTAAACAACGGTAAGTCTGTTGTATGGGGGGAGGGTTGCAAGGAGTAGGGTCTGCGACAGACACGAAATGGGATTCGTAATGCAAACATTGTCGAGAAACGGAAGCCACAAGCTGCACATGACAGCAGGGTCAATCAAAGGCAAAACTACGATTATTAACTACAAATTTCGTATTGACTATCGCGACTTTTGGCTTTGACTGTACTGTGGAGAAATCTGGGCAGCAACACCTTAAAGCCCATTTCCCTCTGAGCCGTCGCTTGAGGCACTTCCCTGTCATCATCAGCAGCAGCAGCAGCGTTGCCGTCCTGACAGAACGGGACTATCGGAGGCCCAGCATCTTGATGATCACAGCAAGTCCCAGAGCAAGGCACTAGCCGTCGCGAAACGTGATTTCTAAGGTCATCATTCAAAAGGCATCAGTCTACAAAGCAGAGGGACAGCCACAGGCACAAAGTTCCCAGGGCCTAAACTAGATCCCAGGTGATTTCCGACAGCAACCGAGAAGAAAATTAAAACTATTTTACATTTCATGTCATTTAACGAAATTCAATTGAATGCCAAGGCTCATTAGTATCTGTGAGATACTTTTATATCTGTAAAGTGCATTCGTATCAATGAGATTAAATAAATAATAATAAATAATTGAGTATTTTTGATATAACATAGCCAAAGATACTTTTGTATCTATGAGATAATATCTGATATGATATCTCTGCAATTCACAAGCAAAAGATACTTTTGTATCTTTGAGATGCTTTTGAATGTTTGTAAATAAAAAGCAAAAGATACTTTTGTATCTCTGCGATTCACAAGCAAAAGATACTTTTGTATCTTTGAGATACATATGTATCTGTGAGATACATTTGTATCTGTGAGATACATTTGTATCTGTGAGATACATTAAAATCTTTGCGATTCACAAGCAAAAGATACTTTTGTATCTTTGAGATACATATGTATCTGTGAGATACATTTGTATCTGTGAGATGCATTTGTATCTTTGAGATACATTAAAATCTTTGCGATTCACAAGCAAAAGATACTTTTGTATCTTTGAGATACATTTGTATCTGTGAGATGAATTTGCATCTTTGAGATACATTTGTATCTGTGAGATACATTTGTATCTGTGAGATGCATTTGTATCTTTGAGATACATTAAAATCTTTGCGATTCACAAGCAAAAGATACTTTTGTATCTTTGAGATACATTTGTATCTGTGAGATGCATTTGTATCTTTGAGATACATTTTTATCTTTGCGATTCACAAGCAAAAGATACTTTTGTATCTTTGAGATACATTTGTATCTGTGGGATGCATTTGTATCTTTGAGATACATTTGTATCTGTGAGATGTATTTGCATCTGTGAGATACATTTGTATCTGTGAGATACATTTGTATCTGTGAGATGCACTTGTATCTTTGAGA